GGTGACCGCAGCCGGGGCTGCTCTCCCAGGGAGCACTTACGGGGATGGTGAGGAGAAGAGCTGCTGTCACGGGAAGAACCAGCTGCAGAGGAGATCGCTGTAGGGCACAAAGAAGTATCTCTTTTGGCTGGGCCACAGCATCTCATCTGGTCTCCAGCCTTGCCAGGACAGAGAGGAAAGAATTTGACTGCAGCGGTTCAGAAATTGCGCAGGTGCCAGTATGTCCTTTCCAGTCCCTGTTCTGGAAGCAGCTCCTCCATCTCCAGTTACACACGAGCACTGTAACACGCTTTATTACTTTCTCAAGCTGCAGCTTATTTCCCAGGTTCATTTGTATCATTTTCCTGGATGAAAGCTGGTTCCAAACGTAACAGTGTGCTGGCTTTAACCCCATTCAGCATTCAGCTTGAGAAGAAATTATAGGCACAGGCAGTGGAAGGGGACAGGATGGGGCCTTGTTTTAATCTAGGCAAACAACCGAGCAGTTTTCTGCACATTTGTTCAATAAAAAAGTATGACTAGGGGAAAGGCAGCTCGCAATGGATGTGATTTCAGAGCTCTGAAATCCTGTCAGAGGGAAGGAAAGGAGAAAGATGTTTCCATGTGCATTTCAAAGCCTCAATTATCACACATGGATGGTGAAACTTTAATTGGAGATTTGAACATGCCTGGGGTCAGGAATAACTGGCATTCGGTGTATATATATATTTTTGTTTTGTTTTGTTTTTTTCATAGGAATGCAGGGGAACCAATATTTACAGCTTTACCAGGTAGACAAACGTTTATGTTGCTCCATCCCGAAACGTCAGAAGAAATCCTAATCTGAAGAAACGCAGCCAGTCTGTAGGAGGAGGCAGTAGCTGGGCAATTGCACTACAGATTAACGCCATAAAACAGCACAGAGACAAAAAACCTCCCCACACTCTGCATGAGCACAAACAGTTTGAGAATAAAATCTAGTTAACTAGCTCTAAATTTTAGAGGGATGCTAAATTCGATACTTCTATATTTGTGGGGAATGTTGTGGGAACTCTAAAAAGGTCAGATGTCCCTTTGGTTTGGTTCATTTCTCCTTCAGAGGGGTCCGCATCCAGCAGCAGGAGCACAACTCGGAGATTTCCATTGGAAGTGATGAATTTTAACAAGCCTATCTGGACCCCAAGTTTCCCTTGGTCTTTGATAAAAGGGCTGACCAGGGTTTACGCTACTTAGCCTGTGAACCATAATAATAATAAATGGGGAAGATAGTCAGGATTTATATAGCCTTATATTTAATATGGGGAGTTTCTGGAAGGAGTCTGGAAGTAGGGACTGCTGCCCAGACCCCTCGCTTTGGCCAAGCTGTTCTTGGCAGGTCTCAAAGAGGGTGGTGAAAGCGCAGCTTTAAGCCATCCTTGCATCATCCTGGGGTTGTCTCCCTGCCAGCGTGGTCCCTCGTGTGAACTGTAACACCACCAGCGCTACTGTATTTTGCACCGGCTACCAGTGGACCCAAGCAACCAGTCTGGTAACTGGGGATCTGTGAGCGAGAGGGTCACTTCAGCCATTTCTAAGCCCTGTTATGTCTTTCGCTAGGTCTCGGGCAATGAAGTGCCACTGCAGTCCTTACAGTGGCTGTAAAATAGCTGAGGCTTTTTTCCTTCTACGCTGGTTGATCCGCAAGCAGCTGGCTGAACGGCCTTGCAGATAATGTGGCAAAAGGAGAAAAAAAAAAAAAAAGCAAAAGAAACAGCTCTCAGTGTCTGGAGGAGCTGGCCCAGATGCCTGTGTGCATATGCAGATGTTTGTGATCGCAGCGAACGTCCCCAGTTGCTGCAAAGGTCACTTTGTCTGAGATTTTTCACTTGCTTCAGAATAAAGGAACCTGGAGAATGTAACGAGGGAAATGAGGGCTGAAAATTGTTTCCTAATGTCCACGAATTGCAGCACCAAGCTAAAGGGAAAGCGTTCAAATCCCTCTCTGCCCTCTTGGATAGGATTCTGTTTGTAGCTCTGCAGTAATCAGCAGACATCAGTGTCTGCTACAACTGAGTATTTTTGGTATCTAATTGGCACTTAGATCCCAACGTGATATGAGCTTTAGAAATAGCTAAGGCAGATAAATATTGCTGCTTCTTTTCCTGTGTATGTGTGTCTGTATCAGCCGTGTGAAGCTGTGGATTAATGTGAAAAATTCCCGGCTGATTTTAATGGGATGCGTCTCTGTGCAGAGAACGTGCTTCATTCAAAGCTGCAGTAACGTATAGAAGGGATATTTTTTTTTCCTTGTGCTGCGAACATCTAGATCAAATTCCCAAAGTATTATTTGTGCAAAAGCTGTGAATGCTCCCAGCTTGCAAATGAAGTCAAAGCCTTGTTAATGTTTACAGTAAAACAGCTGTTCTCAGCATTTCTCCCCGAGCCTCAGCTACTTCAGCTCTGCCATACTCAGCCTTACATCATAGCAGCTGCAATAATAAGAGGCTGAAAGAGGTCAGAAGCAGCCAGTCCTGCTAAACCACACCTTTGTTTAAAAGAGATTTTGGATTGTAAAATGTCTCAACTGCTAAATTTTTCAGCCTGACTGGACTCCATACATGGGCTAGGTCTTCAAAGACCTAGCTCACCGAAGGCGCGCAGGCACCGCCGGCACGGAGTAAATCAGAACACAGGCTCTTTATACGTTTTCCCAGGAAACTTTCTATAGATCCAGCCTGGGAAAGGTTCCAAAGCTTTGCAGAACTAAAGATAACAGTAATAAAAAAAAAATGGACTAGAGCACGCTGACTTGTAGAAGAAATTGCTGAGCCTATTATATCTGCGTGGCAATGCCTCGGTAATTTGTGTGGCAAGGCTTTGCTAATTTCTTCTGATAACAGTAAGATCGCCTCAGATTACGGAATTTTTCCAATTAGCAGGTATGTAAACAAAAATCTAAGAAAAGAGAAAAGCATCGGTTGTGTAGGCTGCTTTCGAGGCTGTAATTTCTTTGTAAACATTTATGGTCGCTCAAGTAAGAAATGCTACTGGATATATCTTGTAAAAATAATTGGGTGTTAGCAGAATGTAACTCAGAGTATTCCACTGCTCAGCCTCTTTTGAGAGGAGAGAGGCCATCATTTTTCTGCTAGCAATGAAGCGTAGGATCTACCGAGGTTCTGCAGTTGTCTGCATTGTAGGAAAACATAAAAATAGTTTAGAGTCAATTTAAGACCATTTTAACATTAGATATCATACATGTGATTTACTGAAACCCTTTCTTCTGTTGCGTAGTGGTGGGAGCTATGTTGCTTAGCACATACGAGGGACTGTTCCTTGCTGATTTATTACACCATCTGGGAACTGACTAAAAGTTGTTATTTTTATTTTATTGAAAATGAACATTTGAAAATTGAAGTCGAAAGAAAGTGGGGTCTGTGTGGCTGAAAAGTTTCCAAGCAGGTTTATAGGCCCGTTATGCCTTGTACAAAGGCTTATTTTAGCAGAAGCTTCGCAGCTAAAATCAAGTCTGAACATTGCAGTCACCTCCCAGATGAGACGCAGCTGCCTTCTGGGGCCTGGCAGTTCACGGGGTGATGTCACACCCTGCCAGATGATGTCACGGCTGTCTTGGGCTGATGTCACACCCTGCCAGGTGATGTCACACCCTGCCAGACGATGTCACAGCTGGCCTGGGGCAGGGCAGTAGGCTGGGGCAGGGCAGGCTGTGGCAGCTGGCATGCTCGCCGAGCTTTGCAGGCACCACAGCATGACTGACTGCAGCAGAATGATTTAGAAAGAAATCCCAAATGTGCTTTTCAGTAAAAGAAAGAGAAGAAGAAAGCAAGAGAAGCCAAAGAAGAGACAGGAGAATTTGTAGATTCCATTAGTACAGCTATTTCTGCAAAGACAGTAGGTATATGGTGGAAATTATTGGGTCCAAATTGTAATAAAGCTGAATACAGTTTCGGTTATGACACAAGCTTGCAATGAAAGAATTCTTTGAGATCCTGATGATGTCAGGGTGTCGCTGTGTGAGGCATCGACCAGCACAGTAAAGCACGGACCCTTTCTTGAAGCGTGTAGAGGCTAAAGGTACAAGGCCCAGGCAAAGGCAGTGATGTGAAACAGAATGGTCATGCAAATTGTTCAAAGTAACCATACATATGGCAGCTCTGTACTCCTACCAAAAAATATCATGTCTGGGGGAACAGTCGCCAAAAAAAGAGTTTACGTACTTTGAGATCTCTCTCTATAATGTACACATACCCAGTAATTACGTGTGCGTTTTGTGTATGTAATCTAACACTGAGCACTTTTAAAAATGCACACGTCAATGACATGAACCTTTTGTAACTCTACACCCCAGCTAAATATGACTTCGCAGTGTGCATTTTTCTCTGGGCTTCACGAGTACATTCAAAGCATGATCAGCTTGTTTCTTCTGGCATAAATTGTCAGCTGAAGCCCTGAATAAAAATATTGCTTCTTCTCTGTCATGTTGAGAGAGCATATTCCAACTCGCTCACTCTAGGTACAAATGTGTCTGTCACGTTTGAAAAGGTAACAGTTAAATGCATGTTTCTGCTGTCAGAAAAGCAGCAGTTAAACCCTAAATAATATCTATAGGATTAAGATCCAGGAACCTTACTAGAAATCTATATGTAGTTATCTTTCCACATTTCCTCCCTATCCCCTGTCACAGACCATGAAAGAAAATACAAGGAGTGCTCTAGCATGTATGCTTATCTCATTATCTCCATTTTCGGGTAAGTGGAGCGAACAGTTTCACCTCAGTAGGTTTGTAGCAAAATAATACACATTCCTCTGTGCTGGAGGAATGACAAAAGCAGGATTGAGCCCAGAACGGGGGCAGGAGGGGAGAGACGGGAAGGTTTTTTAAAAGAGTTTCCTGAATAATCAGGAAATCCAGTGAGACAAACAGAATGTGTGGAGAGCAAGCCAGAATTATCAAATTACCATGACAACCGTAGGCAAGAACCCAGGGAGAATCAGGTAAAGAAATTACAGTAGAATTACAGTTAACTTCATATTTATTTATTTAAAAAAAAAAAAAAAAGCCCAGGCAGTCGAGAAGAAATATTTCCTTTGGCCTAGCTCGGGCTGGTTCAGGGGCTCGTGAAACGCAGCCTTGTTTGCGATTTTGGAATTGCTTTGCAAATGTGTACAAGTAGCTTTTAGCTGGATTTGCATATGCAGATTGTTTTAACCAGCAGGGCTTGATGGCAGATACAGAACTCCGAATGACAGATGCCTTAATTTGTTTGGAAACAGAAACTGAAGGAGGATGCAAAAAAGGTGAAGAGTTTGTGTGTGTGCGCGCAAACCTGGGCGGTTGTGTTATTTCTGCAACTCCCTCATCTGACATCTCCCCCGTGCGTTTTTCGAGTGGCCACTTTATTCAGTCCAAACTCAGCTTAACACGATCACAACCAAGAGCCTCGTGAGCAGGGAATCCACCAAAGAACAAGTGAAACTAAAGCGAAGTGAAACTAAAATAAGTGAGAGTGGTGGCGCTCATTGAAAAAGCTGCAGGTTAACCATCAACTGGCAAAGCAGATTATCTGTCGGGTTTCACTTGAAAGCTCGTGGGGTGGAGGTTGACTTCCTTCTGTTTGTTCAGCTTTCATGTGCCGTTCCACGTAATACCGCTCACATATATTGGAGAGGCGAAAGTATACGGTTTGAAGGGCAGACATCCGTGTTTAGAGAAGAAAAGGGGAATTTGTTCATTGGGGGGGGCTGTTGATTTTTCCCAGTTTTAAACAAAGCCCTCGAAACCGATAACGTTCCAGCAGATAAACAAAATTCCCTCGAGGCTTTATCTTTCTTGGGTTTTGCTTATAAATGCTTATTGCTTTCGTATCTGCTCCGAGGACACGGCTGTGTGCCCGCCTCCACCTCTTGCAGTGCTCACAGGGCAGGGATGCGCCCGTTGTGTCCGCCCTGCTGGCGTGCCCAGGCTTCGCCTCATCACAGCGGTGCTCCGCTGCAGCAAGGGGTCTTCAGGGAACCCAGAGTTATTGCTGTAGTGCCACCAGGGAGAAAGGACATGTGGAAAAGAGAAAGAGGAAAGCAAGTATGAATCCTGGCTAAAATATTTGCCACCTGTGTTTTTATCTGTGCTTGTTCAGAAGTAGATGTGCACGCTCATTTCTGTGCTCAGTCAGGCTGTGCATAGCTCACGGCTGCGTTTATTTTAATCTAGGGGATGGGAACGAGCTGAGATTCACTCTCAGGACTTGCATTGTCACCGAGATCTCTTTTAGACATGCAGTTTTATGTCACACAGCTCGTTCCCTTTACTCCCATTAGCCACACACGGAGCCCACATAATGCGTCTGATCCCGCTAGCTGTCCAGCGCCCTTAATGAGAGCTAAAGGCACCGGGCATGGCGCAAGAGCCCGTGGCAAATTAATTCCTTGCCACCATCTGAAAACTGTGCGTGGGGCTACTGCGGGGAGGAAAGGGGGAGGGCCCTGTGATTATGCTGGGAGATCCTGAACTGGGAGGGAATTCTGCAGAGACCTGGCAGGGAGAAGGTCTCTCCTCCTCCTCCTCCTTCTCCTCCTCCTCTTCCTCTTCATCCTCCCTCCTGGCCTGGCTCCCCAGCTGCACAGGTACGTGCTCATCTCCTTCCCAGCTCTCTGGGGGAGCCACGCACAGAGGCTCGCCCTGTCCTTTCAAACCAGCGCTTCCTGCCCGGCCTTCAAGAGTTAACCTTTTCTAGAACATTTATTTCACCATCTCAGGGAAAGGAAAAAAAAAAAAAAAAGGAAAAAAAAACCCTGCAGAGCTGAGAGGCTGCAGATCACAAGGCCATTCTGATAGCCTCCTGTCCCCATGGCAACAGCAACGGCATTTATCAGTTCCTTATGAGAGCAGGCACAGCAAATCTGCATTGCACATGGCAGCCTTCCAGCCTTTCAAATGAAAGAGCACTTTGAACTGCTGCCAAGTGTGGAAGGAGCAGAGCTGTCAGGACTGCTTAATGCTGGCAGTTTGTACTTGGGAGCCGTTCAGTTCCCAGAATCCCTGGGCCGTGGCAGCCCGCCAGGTACTTAGCGGAAGCTCCAAACTCACCCCCCGACCATTCACTGCGGCGCACTCAAAATTTTCCACATGTACCATGTCACAAGTGCAGACTGTACAATGAAAGCAAACGCCTTCTGCTCGGGATCCTAATTTTATTAATAATCTAGGAAAAAGCAATCGGAGCGGAGTTGGCTGACAGCAGTACAGTGTAGCCACTGTTTATAACTCCGGGTGCGTGTGTCAAATGCGGATTTCATCCTTCAGAAATAAAATTAGCTCTGACAACAGGGGCTGCGCAGCCCCGGATTTGCATGCAGAGCCTGAGAGCAGGGCGATCGGTGGCAGCAGAAGGGAGAGCGTGGTAATTTACAGTGGAATATTTTTTAGCAGGCATCATCAAATGCATAGCAGCGAGGCGTGGAATAGAAAAAGAAGACGGTATTGCTGGCTGGTAAATATTTTCTGCCCTTACCCTCTGCGTTTTGCTGACATTGTGAGAATCTCGGAAGCTGGCTGATGAATGTAGCAGAGATACATGGCTCTTGGTGGGTTTCCTTTCAATGGAGAGTTTTCATGTGAACTTTTTATTGTTCTGCATTACCCAAAGCACAAGGGCTTCTATTGGCAGAGGAAACAAATTGGCACAGTTCTGCCTTTTTTTTTTTTTTTTTTTTAATCTGCACTGAGATCAAGGGCAAGGGCTTCATTTTCCAGCACTAGTCATAAGCCTTTAGCACAAATAGAATGAAAATTGTCTGTCGCTCAGGCAGTTGGACAGGGTTCAGGAAAACTATGTCTGGCACTAATTCCAAAGGGAAGGTTTGGTTCAATCCAGCATCATTAATTTCAGTAAACTGTTTTCACTAGTCTATATCCCACTGTTCAAGAGCTGTTTATTATCTTTTACTAAATAATGCCTTTTGGAGGACGGAGTCATGAAAAATACCTTACACGACGTGTGTGTACGGGTACTCTCGGATGTACGTATCCGTATAAATAGATGCAGTACACATGGATGCACCTCTATTTTTTAACTTTTCCTGTTTTTCTTAACAATTGCTTGTTTCTTACCTTGCCTTCCCGTTGCAAAACACATCTATAATGCCAAACAGAAAATAGTAAAAATAGCCCAGGAGGAGAGAGAGAGAGAGATGAAAAACCCTGGAGCAAAGACAATCTCCACAAATTTGTGAGATTCACCACAAAACAAGGAAATGTAGTGCCTCTTTTTCAGCTCGCAGCTATCTTTGTCTGCTGCTTAAAGACTTGACTTAATTCACCCAGGCAGTAGTGTCTAAAAGTAATACGCCAAGACAGTTAATTTTGGCACTTAGTCTCCCTTAGGAATTTTACCAACAGTCTTTGCAAAGAAAGTAAATGATCTTTTTTTTCCTCCCCGTTTCCCCCCATAGCTCATCTTGATATGTCCTAATAAAAGGAACTGCCTTCCCCTCCCTTCTGTTCTCACCCTTGTCCTGCGGCCGTAACATACTGCGGTCAGTAGCAATGGCAAGCAGCATTTATAACGTGCTCCTGGAGAAAAAGTGGCTCAGGTCTTTTCAGATGGCCTAGTTACAGAGGAAAAGCAGGTTGTGCCCTGTGAAATAACTTTGCAGGCTTTGGCTTCTCCTCCTCCCTTCCTCCCTCTCTTCCTTCCTTCCTTCTTTCCTTCCTTTCCTTTTTCTTTCTTTTCCTTTTCTCTCTCTCTCTTTCTCTCTCTCTCTTTCTCCTTCTCTCTCCTTCTCTCTTTCATTCTCTTTTTTTCTTTCTTCTGTTCTTTCTTCCATTCTTTCTTCCCTTCTTTCTTTCTTTCTTTCTTGCTTTTCTTCCTCTTTCTTTATCTTTCTCTCTCTCTCTCTCCCCCCCACCTTCTTCTCTCTTTTAATTTGCTTCCCCTCCTTCCCACCTCCCCCATTTTTGGAAAACACAGTAAAGTTTTGTTCAGTTCTCAAGTGTTATTAATCACTGGTGGAGGCCAAAAGCAGGGATATTTTTCTTGGCAGCACGTTTTGATAAACAATCTGTGTATGGGGTGAAGGGAGGGGGGAGCCTGTCTTGCTGGTAACTAAGCTAATGTTTGGCAGATTCTTAACTGTCACGAAAGTGCAAGTGGCTCTCAGTGGGAATAGCTTTAAAAAAATGTACTGATTCGCTTGATTCATTATTGTTGATTGTTTACTACGTCCACAGGATGTAAGATGAAAACAGTCCAGGGATAAAGTAAAAATAACAACAGCGGAGGACCCAGCCTCTACGTATCCAGGCACAAAACATACTACCCAGTCCTTAGTCCCTCATGGAGCCAGCAGAATTCATTATAGGTGTCTTACTTTGCACTGTAAGATTTGGCAAAGGTTAACATGCAGAAATCTGCGCTTGCAGACAGGTTTTAAAACCATAGAGACAGCTGTACGAACATCCGCTTGGGCTGGGTCTCAAGGAGAAGCCATAACTGCTTTCTGGGGCAAAAATGGGGCATTTGGGTGGCTGTGGGGTTGCGAAGTTACCTCGGTGTGCAGCCGCAGGGCAGGCACGCCGGGAAGAGTGGAAAGCAAAATTGTGGCAACAGCCACAGCAAAACTGGATGGTACAGCAGGCAGCGTCCTTTGAGAAGTGTGTTGGTGCTGCAGAGCGAAGAGAGAGTAAGGAAGGATGGAAGGAAAAGAAGGGAGAAAAAGGAGGAGGAATGGAGAAAGGAAGGAAGGAAGGGATTGAGGTTAGGAGGAAGGGAGGGAGGGAGGAAGGAAGGAAGGAGGAATTCCTAGGTAGGCAAGCGATCGGCTCTGTGTATGTCAACAAGGCTCACTACCTGAAGAATGGTAGGAAAAAACAGAATTATAATGAGACGAGAACTGAAACGATAAACAGAAACACGTAATTACACTCCTATTCTTTGTAACTAGGTGTTTTGACACTTGCTGGCAGCTCCTGGTAGAAGACAATGTTGTTTAACTTTTAATTTGACAAAATTCTGCAACTCCTTCCTGAAGTGTTTGTGTTTTCATTTGCTGAACACACTCCCTTTACCACCAAGTGCTCTGCTCATTGCTAATCTCTGCGTTGTTTTGAAGCCAGTAATTTGATTGTGACGGATTTTATTTTATTTGCTGTACTGAGGTAAATCCATGTAAATCACACTCTTGGGAGTGCTCTTCCCTTCTGGTTCTTGCATTTTTTTCCAGCCGTAGCTGCTGCTTTGACCAAAGCTGCTGGGGAAGGAGCCGTTTCTGTAGGTGAGCGCCTCCAGACGGAGCAGCTGCTGTGCCCGCTGCCCCCATCAGCGCCGCAGGCACGCAGGAAGGAGTTAAGCTGGGAGCATTCAGGGCAAGGCCCAAACTGCCCAGATCATGGGCTCCTAATTATTTCTGCTTGAGCACTTCAGGCCTGTCCTATATTCCGCGTAATTAACACTGGGCTGCAGATCGATAGCCAGCAATACTCTCGCATCGAGGTCAATGGCAATCCCAGCGTTTTGGGACGCTCGTGCGCAGTGGCACGGAGCAGAGCCTGGCAGACCTGGGGTTTGGCCAGGCCCGTGGATTTTGGCCCTTTTTCCTTCACGGTGCATTGCACCCTCTGCTAGTTGGACTACAAAAGGTGCTGGCCAGCTTATATGCTCCATGTTTCTATGATCATTCCGACTCCTTCACTCAAATCCAAGCTTCACCTGCTGCCCTAACGTTACGCAGACGCTTGTGCCCGTTTGTAATACAGTGGGTGAGAGGAATCAAGGGAAAGGGATTATTGGGTGGCAGTCTTTATCCTAGCACTGAAAGGAAGGAGTTAGTAGATGTTACTTCTGATAGCGAAAATTAGATTCTGGGTCCAGTGGGACTCCTGGCAGGTCGTAAACTTCGGGCACTCCGCGCGGGATCGCCATGCAAAGTGCTGACTCGCCTTTCTGTGCAAAGAGCAATACGTACGCATCAATTGTTCGCTGCTCCAGCTCCAGCTCTCCTTGCGCTTCCCTTCCTCTTATTAAACAAGCAACTGTCTTTTTTTTTTTTTTCTTTTTCCCCTTTCTCCCCCCTCCCATGCTATTTTTTGTTTGCCCGCTTCTTTCTTTCATTTAGCCAGATCAGGCACCTGAATGGCTTCATTGTTTGGGCTTCCTCTTTCCCTCCTCCAAACGTAATTTTAATTCCTGGATTATTTCAGAGCTAAATCAACACCAGCCACGTTCGGTATAAATCCAGCGAGACTGATCTGGATTGCCCCTGCCCCGCCGCCGGCGTGGTGAAGGACGGGGAAGAGGGAAGGTGAGCAGCAGAGCGTGCCGCTACCCCGCAGGAGCCGCGCTGCCGTGGGTTTTAGCTCCGTCACGTTGCCACCGTTCAATCTATTTTCCCCTAACAGATGAGATTGATCCTGACAACTCGTTCCCTGTGAAGGTGCCACGGCATGGCATTTATTTGCATTTACATTGCACTTCTCTTCATCAATCAGCTCGCAGAGATCGCTGCTGCTGCTAGCCGTATTGTTGCCGTGCTGACACTTCAGCCTTAAGTGCTGCTTGCGTAATGGCACGGTACGTGCCCAGGACCAAAGTTTAAATCGAGGTTTAATCATTACGGAAAAACAAACATATTTCCACGACTGTGTATCCTGCAAGTAAAAGTAAAGGCAGCTTGGTCGGGTCACAGATGCTAATCTCTGCTCTTTCTCTATTCACAAACTATAAAGGGAGTTGACAGCACCTGTAAATGGTTTGCTGAGGCTAGATTATATCTAAGGTGATTATTATTTACACCCACTATAAAGACTGCTCTTGTGAGCCAAGAAGTCTGTTCCTGGGAGGTGAGTGTTACCAAAAAAGGCCTTTCTTGCAGGAGGGTTCAGTGGAGCGAGGAGCCAGGGCGAGGGGCGGCCGGAGCACACCGAGCTCCTTGTCGTTTGTGCTGGGTTTGAGGAACCCAACGGAGCGAAAGGCAGGCGGGATGTTCTGCGAGCCCGCAATCCCGGCGTTCAGGACGCAGCCCCGGCTCTCGCAACCTGAGTTTTTAGCGCAGGGCCGACCTTTTCCACAGCCCACTTCTGCTTCTCCCATGCAGCTCGAGGCGGGGCAGTGTGAGGAGCTGACCGCAGCGAGCATGTGCCCGCTCGCTCAGCTCAGCAACCCCACGGCCGCGGCTGGGGCGCAGCGGCTGGCAGCGAAGGCGTTTCCTTGCCCGGAGGCGCCTCCGCGATGCCCGCAGCCGTGGCGGCGCTGCGAAATCCCCCCCCCTCCGCTCCTCTTCCTCCCCCAGGGCTCGCTCCCAGCCCGCTCTCCCCGTGCTCGCCGCTTCCCCTGCAACCTTCGGGGGTTTCGCCATCCCCCGGGGGTGCTGCGGGGCCGCCACCGCCGGAGCCCCCCGGGGGGCGCCGCAGCCGGCAGCGGGGGCGCGGCGCAGGCGCTGCGCTGGGGAGGAGGCGGCGGCGGCGCGCACACGCCGTGCACGGAGCGCGCGGCCCCGCGGCAGCTCGGGGGCGCGCCCGTGACGCAAAGGCAGCCCCGTGCCAGGCCGGGCCGCCCCGCAGGGCGGCGGCTGCGGCTGTTGGGGGGGGGGGGGGGAGGAAGAGGAGGAGGGGGAGGAAGGCTGCGCCTTTTGTTTTTGGAGCGGGGCTGCCGGGGGGGGGGGTTAAAGGAGCCATTTAAAGGAGGAGGAGTGGGGGGGGAAGGGAGGAAGGCGTGTGCGCGCACAGCGCCGGGGAAACCCAGTGTCCCCCCGCCGCTCAGACACACCCCGCCCGGCCGGGGGGGGGACACCAACACCCCCCCCCCCCCATACACACACACACACACACACACAGCACGCCGCCGGGCCGTGCACGTGCTGCCCGGGCACGGAGAGGCGGGGGCGCGCCCGGCGGGCACGCGCCCCGCGCAACAAGTGGGGCCGGGGGGGAAGGGAGCGGGGGGCGGGCGCTCGGCGCTGACGCGGGGGGCCCCGCCCGGGTTCAGCCGAGCCGAGCCGAGCCGGGAGAGCGGCGGGGAGGAGGAGGAGGAGGAGGAGGAGGAAGGGGGGAGGAGGAGGGCGGCGCGGGGGGAGCGCGGCGCGGAGGAGGGGGCGCGCAGGGCAGGCACACGCGGCGGCGCGCAGCAGCAGCACCCCGCGCTCGGACCGCGAGCAGCGGCGAGGATGTGAGTGCGGAGCAGGCGGCGCCGCCCGGCACGCTGCTGCCGCCGCTGCCCCCCGGCCGCCCCCGCTCCGGGTCGCCGCTCAGGACCAGGAGGAGCCGCCCCAGCCCCGCCGAGCCGCAGCAGAAGCAGCAGCAGCAGCAGCGGCGGCGGCGCTCGGCAGCCGGCGGACCGCGAGCGAGCCGGGCAGCCGCGGCGGGTGGAAGGTGACCCCCCCCCCGCCTCCCTCCGCCTCCTCCCGGAGGAGGAGCAGCGGCGGCGGAGAGCTAGAGAGCGCAGGGAAGCGGCTGCTCGGAGGAAGAAGGCGCCCCCCAGCCCAGCCCGGCCCCCCGGAGGAGCCGGCCGAGCCCTTCCCCAGCCCGGCGGCGGGAGCCGCTTCAGGAGCGGGCGAGCCCCCCGCCGCCCCTCGCAGAGCCGCCGGGGGCACCGGGAGCAGGTACGGAGCCCCCCCCCTCCCGCCGCAGCAGCCCGGGGGGGACGAGCCAGCCAGCCCCTTCGCCGGCGGCAGCGGCAGCAGCGCCCCGGCCAGCGGCACCATGTCCGCCGCGCAGGTGTCGTCGTCCCGGCGGCAGTCGTGCTACCTGTGCGACCTGCCCCGCATGCCCTGGGCCATGATCTGGGACTTCACGGAGCCCGTGTGCCGGGGCTGCGTCAACTACGAGGGCGCCGATCGCATCGAGTTCGTCATCGAGACGGCCCGGCAGCTCAAGCGGGCGCACGGCTGCTTCCAGGACGGGCGCTCCCCGGGGCCCCCGCCGCCGGTGGGCGTCAAGGCAGTGCCCCTCTCCGCCAAGGAAGCGGCGGCGGCGGCGGCCCAGCAGCAGCTCAACCATGTGGACGCCTCCTCCAAAGCGGCCTCGGCGGGGCTCGCCCAGTCCAGCCTGGATCGCTACGGGCTCAGCGCCGCGGCGGCCGAGCAGCGCAGCCGCTTCGAGTACCCGCCGCCACCCGGCAGCCTGGGCGGCAGCCACGGAGCCCGGCTGCCCAACGGGCTGGGGGGCCCCAATGGCTTCCCCAAACCTCCCGAGGACGGGCCCCCGGAGCTCAACAGGCAAAGCCCCAACTCCTCGTCATCCTCCTCCTCCTCCCGCCGCGGCACGCACGGCGGGCTGGTGTCCGGCCTGCCCCCGGGGGCTGCAGGTGCCCAGCTGAACGTGCCCCCCAACCTGCTGCCGCAGACCCTGCTCAATGGGCCCGCCGCCTCCGGCGTGGCGCTGCCCCCACCGCACGGGGGTCTGGGTGGCCGTGGCGGTGGCGGGCCCCCAGCCCCCTCCGCTTCCTCCCAAGGGGGCACCTGCGGCGGGGGCAGTGGCGGTGCCGGGGGTGGCGGTGGCTCCTCGTCGGAGGCCTGTGGCAAGCGGCCGGGCTCGGTGTCCAGCAGCGACCAAGAGCGGGAGCTGAAGGAGAAGCAGCGCAATGCCGAGGCGCTGGCTGAGCTGAGCGAGAGCCTGAGGAACCGGGCTGAGGAGTGGGCCAGCAAGCCCAAGATCGTGCGGGACACGCTGCTGACGCTGGCCGGCTGCACCCCTTACGAGGTGCGCTTCAAGAAGGATCACGCCCTGCTCGGCCGCGTCTTCGCCTTCGACGCCGTCTCCAAGCCAGGCATGGACTATGAGCTGAAGCTCTTCATCGAGTACCCCAGCGGCTCCGGCACCGTCTTCTCCAGTGCTTCTGGCGTGGCCAAGCAGATGTACCAGGACTGCATGAAGGACTTCGGCCGCGGCCTCTCCTCGGGCTTCAAGTACCTGGAGTACGAGAAGAAGCACGGCTCTGGAGACTGGCGGCTGCTGGGGGACCTGCTGCCCGAGTCGGTGCGCTTCTTCAAGGAGCTGGTGGGCGCAGACATGCTGCCGCAGCCCTACCTGGACGCCAGCTGCCCCATGCTGCCCACGGCCCTGGTGAGCCTCCCGCGACCGGGGACTGGGGCCGGCGGGGCTCAGGGCACAGCCGCTGCCTCCAGGGGCCCTGGCGGTGGCGGCGGCGGTGGCGGCGGGGCCATGCGCAAGAGGAAGGCGTCTCCTGAGCCCTCGGACTCGGCCGAGGGGGCCCTGAAGCTGAGTGACGAACAGCAGCGGCAGCAGTGGATGGCCAGCCAGAGCGAAGCGCTCAAGCTCACCATGTCGGCCGGGGGCTTCGGGGCGGTGCACGGCGGGGGCCCCCCGCCGCCCCCGCCGCCGCCCCTCGGGCCCCACTCCAACCGGACCACGCCGCCCGAGTCCGCCCCCCAGAACGGACAGTCCCCCATGGCCGCGCTCATGTCGGTGGCCGACACGCTGGGCAATGCCCACTCGCCCAAGGACGGCAGCTCGGTGCACTCCACCACGTCCACCCGCAGGAACAGCAGCAGCCCCGTGTCGCCGGCCTCAGTGCCGGGCCAGCGCCGCCTGGCCTCCCGCAACGGGGACATGAACCTGCAAGTGGCCCCTCCTCCCCCCAGCGCCCACCCTGCCATGGACCAAGTGCACCCCCAAAACATTCCGGACTCCCCCATGGCCAACAGCGGGCCCCTGTGCTGCACCATTTGCCACGAACGCTTGGAGGACACCCACTTTGTTCAGTGCCCCTCTGTGCCCAGCCACAAGTTCTGCTTCCCTTGTTCCAGAGAGAGCATCAAGGCCCAAGGGGCGACGGGCGAGGTCTACTGCCCCAGCGGAGAGAAATGCCCCCTGGTAGGTTCCAATGTGCCTTGGGCCTTCATGCAGGGCGAGATCGCTACCATTTTAGCTGGGGACGTTAAAGTGAAAAAGGAGAGAGACCCTTGAATAGGAAATCCAATCCCTTCAGACTCCTGAAGATGTAGAATTGTGAATATAACAAACTGCAAAAGTTAGTCTTATGTATAGACATTATTTTCGTCGTATGTTTCTATATTTTGAAACAAAGGTATGTACTCTTCTTCATTTGAAGGATAGAGCTGGTTTTTGTTAAACAGAATATAATATTGTTTGGTTACTACATAATACCTGTTCTCATTTCTTTGGCAGTGTGTTGGCTAGGTACAAAGTTAATAGCCCTTAGCGATTACCTGCTGCTGGTGTGTATTTTTGTAAATGTATGCACTTCTCTGAAAGAAGAAGAAAAACACAAAAAAAAATACAAAAAAAAAAAAATTTTTTTTTGCCAAGGCCAGTGTTGATGCCTAAAAAAATTGCTACAAAAAATGGTGACAGCTTATGTTTTACAAGCCCTGAGTGTTAGTCTCTCACTTTATTTTTTTTGTTTTCGTTTTTTGTTTGCAAAACGGTGGGGTGGCTCTGGGGGGAGGGTGTTTTTTGTTGCAAGTTTGTAAGGAAAATGTTTCAGTTTGTTTCTATTGATCTGAACGTTTTTAATCTTCATGTGTTTTTTGTTTTTGCTTTTATTGATGCACGGATGCTTTTGAACAGTAGAGCAAAATGCTGTACATGAGAAACATGCTCTGTTTGTCCTTTATACATTTCTGTAGTTAACAGAACACTGTAATGTGCCTTGGAGCTTAGTAAATTGTAATAAATTCAATTGATATTAATACTTCTCGAGTAGCAAGCTTTATTTTTCCCGGAGCTCCGGCAGCGTGAGCGTGCCGTGCTGCCTTTTTAAAAGTCTCCATTATCTCGAGAGCCTTTGGTTCCTTGTGATAATTGTGGCACTGGTACGCACACTTTCGCATACGTGTAGTGAGCCGATGATGTTGATGGTGTTATCAAACTTATCTAAATCTTGGCACGGTGCCTATTTGCATTTCACCTTTAATGTTGCAGTAACAGTTGCTGACTAAGCATTTTCTATTTACTGTTTCTGCATCTCATTTCCTCCTCCCTTCTCTCCCCCCCCACCCCCAGCTCTCCAGCTGCAAGCAGCCTTTGCAATGCAGCCTGCGTCCATTGCCTGTGCCCTTCGGTAAGGCTCGAGATTTGAAACGAAGCCCTCTTTCCCCCCAAAAAAAAGGCAAAACAAAAAAGCTCAGCATCACGTGGTTAATACTTTTAGCTGATTTTTACAAGTGGCTGTCGAGCTCGACGCTGGCCGGAGGCTTGGCGAGGCAGGGCTGTAGCCGAGCAGGGCACAAAAAGGGGCAGTGGGGAGCTGCCCTGCCTGGGAACTGGCTTTTGCTTTGGGGGACTGGGTTGGTGATCTGAGCTGTTGTGTGCTGTGTTTTCAGGTGAGAAAGCTTCCTGTAAAGCGCTGAATTGAAATGCTTTCCCTCTGGCGAGGCTCGTTTGTGATTCCTGGTGTAATTAACTGTTTGATGTGACACTGGCGTTTTGTGGGGACTGGGGAGCAGCGCAATACCTGTGAGGTGATCAACAGGCAAAGTAAATACGCGGGCCTCACACTAGCTAGAAAAGGCAAACAAACCTAATGTGAACTTTGTCCTTTCCAATGACTCAAATGGAGGAGAGATTTTTTAAAAACAAAAAACAACAACAACCTCGGAACAATCCCAGCAGCACAGCTTTGCAGTTTGACCAGCAGAACGCAGGGATTTCCAGCTGTAAGAGTGTCAGAGGGATCAGCTCTGAGTTTTACTGAACAGTAAGGATTCCTCCACCCTCCGAAAATTAGATATATATGCACAAAGAGGTACTTTTCAAAAGTCTGGATGGCGTTTGGTATCCAATTGCTCTTTCTTCATTTGTATTCCTGCTGGAAAGGCTAACTGCAATGGCAGAAGCCTTGAGAACTGTATGCTTAGTGTGCATCTGGCTCTTGGCTTTCTCGTGTAGCTGCATACTCCTGTATTTGGGGGTTATGTTCTCAGATTAATTCTTCTGCATCACAAAATTTGTTATTTCAGCCCATACCTTTGTATATACATGCCATTTTCCCCCCCTAGTGATATGCTGCTGCTTAAAAATCTCAGAACGTCCTGTTCTTATGTAGTGAATGTAGGTGAATAATGCAGAGCAAGACTGTTTTGAGCTAATTATTGCATCCAACCTATACCTTAGTTAGAGTATGGATTTGTACTGATCCTGCTTTAAATTATTTTTAGGCATGCAGTTACCAGCCAGCATTTTATGACCAAACCAAGCGATAGGGGGATTTACGTTGTGGGTTAAGGACTGGCAGAGGAAAAAAAAATCGTAGACATGCAAGAGATTTGACTTTAAACCTAACAAGGAGAGAAGCAATATTCATGTGTGAATTGCAACTGCTATCAAGAGGGAAAAACTACGGGCTGTTCAACATTAAATCCTGTCACAGGAGCCTGAATACCCCGATCTGTACAAACAGAGACACTCTGGTAGTGTGGAAATCGGTCATCAGGAGTGAGAGGTAGGCAGAGCCCAGCCTGGTGGATTTCTTTAATTGAAGAGCAGTCTGGAGAAGCTTTTCTCAGGCGGGATTTCTGAAGCGTCAGGCCACTTAGGAGCCCCATCGGTTTGATTTTTAGCAGGCAAAGGAAAGGTAAGGGGCAGTGGACAAAGGTGGCAAATAAGCTTGAAGAGAATTGTAATTCTGCAGTTAATTAAAGTTAACCATAGCTACGGGGCATTTGTTGTAGGGAGGTTTTTGGAGCCATGTGACCTTTTCTTTTACTCTGGCTCATTAGGCAGCCAGTCTGGGCATATTAGCCAGCGTCTCTTTGAACCCACTCCATAGGTTTTTCACTTTCCGCAGACGTCCCCAGCTGACAAACAGGCTGGAACCGTGTTTCGAGGCGGGGGAAAGGGGAGAGCCGCCAGGCCAGGCTCACGTGCAGCCATTCGTCCGGTGCCTGCATTTCACGGCAGCGCTCCCCTCCCCCAGCTTTGCCAGTTATTTAAGGTAAAGCCCAGTGTTTGCCTGAATAAACGTGAATTTATTTGTCCAGGTGGCCATTTGTTGAGCTCTCACTGCTTCTTGTAAAGGGGAAGTCTTTAAATGGTTTATTTTCCCAAAGTTTTTTTTTTTTTCCTTTTTTTTTTTTTTTCCAGTGAGATTATTCTTGACGTTTCTTTTAATAGCCTCGCAGCCTTATTTTCTAAGAAATGGGCTAGAACATGTGTGTCACTGGATGTTTGTTTTTTAAGCGTTGGCAGCTCTGCGCCAGTTGGAGATGGAAGTGTTTGTGCAGCGAGGAGATGTTATGTCCATTTGGGGGAAATACTACACAGCTCCATCAGGAGCCTCCTTCCCTACAAATCCTGTTATCTTTCCTATTTGCTTAGCAATGTTGTGCACATAAGCACGCTCTTCCTCTTCCCTCCCCCCCTCCTCCTTCAGCATTTGAGCTCCAAACTAGTCAGGGCTAACATTGTTTTGAAACTGCAATCTCTTCGCATCGGCTGCCTGCCAGCAGAGCTTTGCGAAGCTGCAGTAGTCACTGGAAAAAGGGCTGGCTTTGCTGCCTTACGTGTCTTGCGAGCTGAGTTTTTCTTCCCCTCAAGGGAAAGGGCTTTGTCTCCTCCGAGCTCTCAGGTTCCCAGCTTACTATGCAGTAGTTGCTTTGCAGCTTCCCTCTCCTCCCGTTCTTGCCATTTTCTTTTCTTTCTCTCTTTCTTTCTTTCTTTTTTTTTTTTTGTTTTGTGGTATGCGGCCATTCTCCATTCATAGTCGGGTGGTTTGTGTTGTGCGTTAGCAGCCTCTTTCTCTGCCAAAGTGACACATCCTGTAGATTTGCAGCAGAGTACTGAACTGTCACTGTAATGCTGACTCTTGTAAGGCTATTCTTGAAGCAGAACAGCTTCCCCCTTGGCGTTCAGCCACCAGAATCCATTACAGCATGCATTTTCTACCAAAAACACAGCTCTGTACCTACATCGCTGCCCTTCCAATCCTCCCCTGGAAGACGCAGAGGGCACGGCTACACCCTCCCCGTGCAGAAACAGGCACCGCGTGAAACGGCTGGGTTTATTTTCCTAGCGTCTTGAAAGCGTGTCCTGAGCTTTTGTTCTTTTGCTCCCTGCCTTAAAACCCGTAACACAGCCTGGGAACGGCACTGCCTCCGCTGATGGGCTGATAGGGAAGGCGCTGTGTGCCGGCGGAGCGGGGCCCGTTTCGGCTTTGCCACTATCCCCAGCTCCTTCCAGCCATGCAGGGAACCGGCGAGGGAGAAGGAGCAGCAGCCAGACGAGCAAACGGGGCCGGGGAGGATGCTTGCACCAGTCTGGCCGGCCAGTACGGCCCCCCAACTGGTTAAACTGGCCGGGCTGCTGGGGCTGGGTGGGTTCAGCGTGGCACGGCCCCGCTGCCCGGGCGCTGCGGGCCCTGCGTTGGTGGCGGTGCCGCTGCGTGCGCACGCCCCGCGCACATGGCCCTGCCTGCTGATGGCCGCATTCCCCTGCTGACAGGCGGCCGGCCTGCCCGATGCGCCCTTGTAGGGCTGTTTGGAGGAGGTGGGAGCAGGGCTGGAGGTGAGGAAGGTCAAGCTTCTTAGGTTTCAGCTGATTTGGCATCCGCTCGCAGCCCTTCCCCCTGGAGCCCGCCCGGCCATATGTGCTGTGCTGCTGCTTTTATGACCCTTTGCAAAGCAATCCCAGAGCTGTGAGCTGCTGCTGGCCACGGAGAACAGCTTACTTTCAGGAAAACAACCCCTTCCCACACCGGGCGGCCCTACGGCAAGAAGGCTGTGGTTTCCCCCTTCCCCAAACCACAAAACCGATCCTAGGGAGCTGCCGCTGCTCTCGGGGCACACATTGGGCATAGCGGGGCAAGCACTGCCTCTAAGCTGGCTTTACTGGGGGAAACCCATTTTTTTTTATTATTTTTGCCAACGTAAAGGCCCGCTGCTTTGTTGGGTGCCCTGGGAGTGAGGGCTGAGGCTGGCAGTGCCGGGCCCGAGCCGTGCCGTGCGCTCCCCGCCCGCCTGGCTGCCTGGGTGCTGGGGCTGGGAACGGGGACACGAAACATGTCTGTGCAGCTTCAAGGAGCTGAGCAGAATTCCCCACTGTCATCATCCTCCTCCCCTCCCTCGCTGCGGGCTGCCAGAGGGGAGGGCTGCTCACAGCGCTGCCATTGTTCAAGTAACCTACAAATGGATTTGCATGGAGGCAGGTTGGGAGGGGCGGAGGGGTGGGATTTATTAGCAGCGGCTGAATTCGTCGGGATTACTACTAGGCTGAGAGCTTCTCAATGGGCATGATCCCTGGGTGAGCGGTGGGGCGGAGGGAGGGCCTGGAAAGCTCCTGAGCTGCCCATGGGTGACGGGGCGGCCGAGCAGGGGAGGCAGGCAGGGCGCAGCCGGCTGCTTCACCTCGGCTTCAACCGCAGCCCTGTATGCCGAGCACGCAGCTCCTGGCAGCGCCGCTCATACCAGAGCCTTGACTCAGGGTTATCTGCATGCTGGGTAACGAGCGGCGTCACCAGAGGAATGTGCAGAGAAAGCAGCCATGCTGCTGCTGCAAGCCTCCGCTCGCTCCTCGGGCCGGCCGCGGCCGCCTGCTTCTGCCTCCCGGCCACTGATGAGTGGCACGAGGTGGGGGCTTCGCCCCGGGGCCAGCCCCGAGCCCACGTCGAAGCCACAATGATGTTTTGCCCTTCTGTGAGTAAGTGCTTGGTGCTGAGAGCCGGACAGGGCTCTGCTAGCCGTAACAGGGCTGCAGCAAGGAGAGGTGATGCCACTCTCCCCAGCGCTCTGTGTTTGTCCCTCTCCCAGCCGGGCAAGCTGCAGCATTTCAGCCAAATCACCTGTCAGAGCGAGGGCGACGGCGGCCTCTGGTTCCTGCCCCAGCTGCCGCTCTCCTTTCCCCTGGGATAACAGGGCCTGGCACTAACAACTGCGCACAGCTGAACCCCAAGGCGCCTGTGCGACACGGGAGCAGCTCCCAGCGCCACGCCACGTGCCCGCAGCCTGCGTCCTTCCCCCAGACAGCTCCGAGGCTGCAGCCGGTCCTGCTGATGCAACCCCGCGAGGGCCGGGGTGAAGGAGAGTGCAGAGCTGTGTGTCAGAGGTAGGAGCTCCCCTTTGGCGATGATGGAAAGCACGGCGCGCTCAAATCAAAGGCAGGACGGGGGCTGCTTTGAATCGCTGTGTTCCAGAGCTATCTGAGGCAATCTCCCTCTTCCCTGCACGCAGCGAGGGAAAAGATCAGAGCGCAGCCCAGGTTTTCATGTGAACATGTCCAGGCTGGCACGCAGCTGGGGTAAGGACAAGGTGCTTCTGTAGGGCTGATTCGTGTCAGAGCTGGGGGCAGAACTAGGGATGGAGTGGGAAGCCTGAATATCTGGTCTGCTGCTGGAAAATACAGGCCACTGGGTAAGATGGGGCAGGCTCGTTTGATCTAGCTTGATATGCTTGTGCCTAGAATTCTCTTTCCCAGTGTCTGCTGCTTATTCCTGTAAAAGGCAAAAAAAGAAGGTACAAAACATACAGGATTAAAACAAGTGAAAGCTCTCACCTTCCTGCAGGAGTAAATTTCTGAGCATTTCTTATTACTCGCTCAGCGTTGCTGATATGCCTGACTCTGTGCTACATGTAAAGATAATCCCTCCATGAAGAACTCAGACTGCAGTGATAAGAGAGGCCAGTTGGTGCATCTCTTTTCTCCCACCTCCTTTGGTGCAAGATTATTCCCTGTATCTTATCAAAAGGAAGCAGCCTTTCAAGAGCTGTACCTTGGTAAGTGTCCATACTCAATTTTGGCAAGCATTTATTGTGGCTGCGAGTGGTTGCTCTCCCCTCCTCCCCCCTTTGCAGTCAGCTCTTCTCCCGCCTGTGGCTGTGCTCGCTCAGCTGTGCTCATTGCATCACTTGTGCTGGAGGGGAGGCAGCAAGAGAGAACCGCCAGGGACAGCAGCGCTCCCTGATCCACGGCCATCTCCTCACAGTGCCCTAACCAGGACCTTCAGCCTAAGGTAGATCCATTACTCAGCATCCTCCATGGGGTGCCTGGTGCCTTGTGTGACAGTTAAGTGCCAGGAAATGGCACGGAAATGCTCGTGCTCTCGTGTACCTGCCTGTTCCTCACGCTAGAAGAGACGCCAGCGTTCCCTGAGAACTGCAGTGCCCGTGCGGAGGACAAAGAGCAGCTCCTTCTGGCTTTTTGCATGATTAGCTGCAGCTCTCCGCCTCGGTCTTCCTTGTGCCGATGGTTTGATTTGTACAGCAGTGCGCTGTGCATATTTTGCAAGTTACAGCTTGAAACTTCCTCCTCGCAGCAGGCTCTGTCATTTGAAGGAACCCCACCCTGCTCTCCCTTGAAGATGTGCAATCCCAGCCCGTGTCGGAGCATGCCTGGGGAGGCAGGTGCAGCCTGGCTGGATCCTCCACACTGCCTACAAATAAACACTACTTAAACAAATTGGACTAATAACATTCAGGACTCAAGTAACAAGCAGGGCAGTTTCTGCTCTGTAGTCTTTATTCCGTGCTTCTCCCATCCCCTCTCCCTCTGCTTTATAATCTAGAATTTGTGCCACGATCACAGCGCCGGGGCAATTAATTACAGCACAACTTCATGGCACTGGGTAACAATCACAGTAGATAGCATGTAGCACCTTTGTTGAAAGCAACAACACCAGATTAAAGTTGCTTTTTTAAAAAAAAGCACATTTCCTTCCTGCCGTTGCAAATAAGGAGTTACATGAAATTAAGTATTTATTTTCTAATATTTTAAGGGGGAAAAAATCTTTCGGCACACAGCCTGTAAATACACTTGTGTAGCTGTCAGGTCTTTCCTCTAGCCCTGAACAGATGACAAATGCTTAAAAGCAGTAAGAGTTCTTCAGCCTAGACCCAAACGACAGGAGCAGAACCAGGCTGTTCCTCCAGCAAAGCAAGCCCTTTGTGCTCAGCTCGGTCTGGTGCTGTGGGAACTACGGTGTCGTCTGCTCCACGGTTTCCTCCTCAGGTGAGCTCTTTGCAGGATCACCCAATTTTGGTGCTTTCCAGCACCATATTATTTGCTGCAAGCATTTAAGGATCAGTCGCCAGCAGCACACACGCAGTTACCCTCAGGGTCTCGTCCAGACGAGTTCTGCAGTTGGGTGGGACCCATCTCATGACCACACGGGCTTCTCCGTGATGTTCTTTTCGAGACTGTCAGGTCTGCAGGCTGAGCCACCAGCTTTCCTTCACGCTTAAGGATGGCTGGGCCTGGGTAGCTATTTCTGCTAAGCTTCTTAAGCCTTTCTGGCTGTTGTTCCCTAAGGAAGCCCGGTGATGTAGCCACCAGACTTCTCCTGATTTTTTGTTTGAGCAACGGTGGAGTTCCCATACAATTTGAGACCATTTGGTCTCAATTCAAGCTTTTACCCCTCGGTCTCCACGCGAGACTTTCTCTGGCTGCCTGGTCCAGAAAGCCTGTTCGTGTTGCACGGAGACCTCCACCTGTGGCTCAAGTGGCACGTGGCAGAGATTCGCTCCGGCGAGCAATCCCTTCATGTGCACACGGTTGCGTGCCAGCCGCGTATTACTAGAATTTCCCTGCTCTCAGGAGGACCTTCTGTAAGCTGATGCAGGACTAAAATATTCTTCTAAAGCTTGTTGGCAAGCTGCAAGTCTTCCTTGCTTTTTTGTAGCAGAATGCTCCAGTCTGTCACATGAATTCATTCCCTCCACCTCTGTTTCCTCCATCACTTCACTTGCAGAGGAGTGCCCGGAATGGCAATCAGTTCCAGCGCCGTAGCAGACCCTGCAGACGTCACTCCGAGGCTACGCTTCTCGCCTCTGAACACATGGCTGGTGATGTTCCCGGGCTGTGTGCTTGCTGTAAACGAGCACGCTCCCCGCCGTGCAGCTCGGCCCAGATGCAGTGACTGCGCCTCTGGAGCCAGGCTCAGCGTGGGCAGGAGAAGAGCCAAGGAGCTCGGCGCTCCGTGCCGCGTCGCCCCTCTCGCTGGGGAGCTGCTCTGCAGCTCCTCAGTGTTAACCCAGCAGCACTCGGCACCCAGAGATGCAGATGGATGTTGGAGGGTGATTTTCAGCTCCGTCGGCGTGGGGCTGAGCCTGCCCAAAGTGCCCTGTACAGCCCAGCAGCACTCCCCAGCCCGCGGGTCAGCAAGCGCTGCAGGAATCTCTCCTGCTGAGGTGCAAGCTGTAGTTCCTGTTGCTTTTATTGACTCTGCAGGAGGAGTGCCTGCCCTGCTGCTGTGTTTTTTCAGCATCAGACAGACGGCATGTCTGTCTTTCCTCCTCACAGCAGAAGAACCCATGGAGATGTATCTAACCATTGGCTTTGCAGCTATCTTTTATGTAGCTGCTCCAGTTTTCTCTCAGTCCGTTTGCCTGTCAACGTGCTTCATGCTTCACAGGCTTCTGGTTTACTTTCCCCAAGGATTATTCTGTCTCAGCATCCCAAATCCGTTCAGACAGCAGTTTGTCCTCCTTTGAGCACCAGGCTAGAGGGGCAGAAGCCAGAGGGGCCTGTTTGCTCCAGCAAGACAAAGCGTACAAGCTCACCTATTTCACTTGCTGCCATTGCTAAGTCCTTCCTGTAATTCCCCTGCCTCCTTCCCTGCTGGGACCGATAATCTCACCTGGCTGCCTTGCTCCACATCTCCTTAAAGAGGTCCTTAAAGAGGCAGGTCACGAGTACCACTTTGTTTACAAATACCTCAAGGCAGACTTGTGTATGGCGTAAGCACAGGATCTCCTACCAAAGCACCTTTTTCCTGTTTGGGAATTTGCGAGGGTAAACGAGGTATGTGCGAAGAGCGAACTGCAAGGCCCCGAGTCCTCTCTAAATCTCACTGTTTATTTGGAAGCTCGATAGATGTTGGGATCAGAGTGGAGTACACGTTACCTGTGTACGTGTTACAGAGGAGCCACTGTCATTTTTCACCTTCATAGTTTGAAATATACATCACCGACAGACGTCCTTATATCCTTGGCCTGCGTGGTGCTCCAGTGCCCCTTAGGAATTCTTGAGCGTACCAAGGCGGTGTGACTGGCCCTGGTATTTATTTCCTTAATAAAAGTGAAATTGCTGACTGTGGGAGGGGGGTGGCTTCTGGCAGGAAAGAGCAAGAAATGGAAAGGTGCCTCGGTGGGGACATGCGTCAAGGTGTTCCAGAGTCAGCCTGAAACAGAGGCTGGGGGAAGAACAAGTGCCAGAGGCAAAGACAAGAAAGGAAAACTCAGCGAGCTCTGTCCTTCAGCAGGCAGGTTTCTGCTTTTAAATGCCAGGGAGATGCTCAGAAACTGTTGTGACAGGGGGCTTTTATAAACCCAGACAGATAAATAAGAGTCAGATGGTCGCAGCAGAACTTTACAGAGCAGCAAAGCACCGCGAGTGCCGTCCGTGAGATAGCTGGCAGCAGGTCGTGTGCTGAAGAGTCCCTCGTAACCAGTCCATCCGTGAGTAAGAAATAATGAGAGCTCCTGAAGTGAGAGGCAGCAGATAATCAAAGGCAACGCTGTCACTAGGTGACGGCCCTTAAATGTTGAGCTTGCAAATATCTCAATGGTGGTAATTGTTATTTCCTCATCAGCCAAAGATGTGCAACAGAGCTAGAAGACAAAGATGTGGTCTTCTCCCAGATGCTTGTAATTTAAATATTAAGGGAGAAAGAACAGAAAGGGATGTTGAAAAGTTGGAAAGCACTGTTTGAGCAGGAAAAAAAAATCAAAATAGTAGGACTTGGCACACTGGGTGGTGATAGGTGAAGGAGCCAGGTTCTAGCAGGTGAAATTTAGGGCACAAGCACTTGCTCACATTTTGCGTAGCTGAAATTAAATATACCAAAATATCTGGGGGAAGACCTGGCTGTCACTGGGTAACTTGCTGGAAGCTCAACAACCTCAGGATGTGTAATGAGTGGAAGCTCCGTGTTGAGCCATGGTACGGAGCTGTGTAACACCGTGAGAGCAACCAAAGGTCTGCCCTCCTCTGGAAGAGCATGGCTGACCCCATCTTAAAAATGGTGATGAACCATTTCTGGGTGACCCCATCTTAAAAACGGTAACAAAGCGTTTCAAGGGGTTTGGAGACAAGCCCGTGAGAACAGTTGGAGACATGCAAAACGTCTCTGCGCCCCAGCAGAAGTGCAGTGGCTGTTTATTTATTCCACAGCTAAAGCGCCTCAGTGTGCACAAGGCTTCGCAGACAAATCGGACAGGTCTGTGCCTGAGGAGCCTGCCTTCCCAGCAAGACAGGGCACAGCCAAGGGAGGCCGAGCAAAGGCAGTGCGCCAGTGCCCGTGCAGGGCAGCAGAGGCAGCGATGGGTAGGTCAGGGTCAGGGGTGGCACCGGAGCCCTCCCAGGGTGTGCACTCACCTTCCAGGAAGCCAGGCCCCCTGCGGTGCTGGCGTGCCGAGGGAGAGCTTCTGGTTTCATTCTCTCTGAGGTGTGACGTGTCTACTTACGGCTAGGCTCCTGCGGGAAATATCCTGCAGACTCCACAGCCTGGGTTTCCACCGGCTTCTTTTCCGATGCATGCAGCTGGCTTTACGAGCAAACTGCGTGTTTGGATGCACGGCAAAGCAGCTGGGGTGCACAGACAGCAGCAACAAAAACCTCAGCGAGGGTTTGAATGCAAAAGCAAATTCGGGGAGCATCCGTGCTGTGCTGCCTCAACACGCATACGCTCAACGTGTAGTTGTGCAAATGGATTTTAAGATGAACTCTAACCATAAAAAAGGTGGAATTGTACATTTCATTGTAAAATTCAGGACTGGTTACCAAACGTGGCACAAACCTGGTGTCATTTGGTATAATTAGCTCGTCATCAGCAGACCTAGGGATGTTCATCAACTGGGCTCGTCATTTGGGGCCGTGGAAAACTTGGTAAATCCTATTCCAGTTGCTGATAATTTCAGAACAGAAGAAAATAATATTAATAGAATATGTTTTTGTTGCATATTACTTGCTCGGTTCTCGCATTATGTATGCAAATCGGGTAATTTTGTACCTAATTGCCTGATTTGCATGCATAAATGTAGGTTGCACATGTGCAAATGATTTTATTCAAATTTAGTATATGCCTAATGTGTAGAGCGGCTGAAAACTCGACTCTGTGTATGGTTTGAATCACTCCTCATTTTCACTCAAGGAAAAAGCAAAATTTATCGCTGGTTTTGGAGGTCAGATGAAATGCAGATGAGCTTCTGTGGGTGGTTTCGCAGGGGCAGGAACCCTGGGGCTGTGCACTTGTCCCGAGAAATTAGCAGTGGTGTGAATGCCCAGGGAGATCCGTCCCTGAGAGGGATCCTGGTGCTTTAAAAGCCAGCAGAAAATCGCAGGAAAATGTGACACTCGCCAAGTGGAAAAAGACAGAATCATTCGGAGAGAAATGGAGGTTTTGAAGTCGAAGGTGGCTCAGCAGACAATGAAACCTAAGACGAGAAGTGTAAAAATACCTCCCTAAAATCCGAGCGCATTAAAAATTCCTTCAGATGATTTCCTGGCTAGGGAAGGAAGGGGACTGACAGGTCTTGTGAATGAAGTGATCTAACCTCAGCAGAAGGAGACGGTGGGCAAGGGATGTGAAAGCCCCGTTTGTTCTGCCGTCTCATGTGCTTCACCTCCAGGGGAGGAAGACCTGGGGGATGACTGGAGGAGGAACAGCTCGGGCTGCTTGCTGCTGGGTCCCTGGGAGTTCCCGGCGCGGGGATGAGCGGCGATGCGCTGTCACCGGCGGTTTTGTAACCGTGTGGAAGGGCAGGAAGCGTCCGGGGGGAAGTGAGCTGAAATCTCCCAACAGCATTTTTCTCTGCGGTGTCAGCTGCAGCCTAATAAACAACGCGAGGCTGTTTTCTCCCTATTACTCAGAACTCCTCTGCAAGCTTTATTTGCATACGCACGGGTGACAAATCCCACTAAAATAAGCAGGGAGCAAAATTAGCAGCGATTTGGAGGCAGATCTGGACACACAGTACCAAATTCTCCTTTAGGCATGAAGCACAAGGGGGTCACATAGGTGCGATGGACGCCCCTGCTGCCCTCCCTCTGTGCTGGCAAGACCTGTGCAGTAAGTGCACTGGGTGGAAGGCAGGATTTGGCACAAAATCCCTTTGTGTCCACCCGAGGCCGGGTCTGTCACAGCTCTGCGGACACGGCTACGGTGTCAGATCACCTCTGAGCAGCGTAGCCTCGCTAGTAAGGAGCCCTAGCACGGATGTGTTTGGAATGGCAAACCTGTGCTTGTCTTGGAACAGGTTCTTTCCCTTCAGCCAGGGAGGCAAGCTGCAGGGAATGGTACTTTCCATAGGAGGACAGAGCTGCAGCTGGAGGAGGGGAGGGGAGGGGGCTGCGTGGCACCACGCGTGGATGGAGCCCCTGCTCCGCGTGGGGAGCGTGGCACAGCCTCAGCTCCTTCTCTCCACACCCTGGAGCCCACCCTGCTACTGCAAAAGCTTCACTGTGCGAGCCCTGCCTGCATCTGCAGCGCTTTACCAGGTTACCTGCCCTAGAGCACTGCTCCCTGATGCAGATTTGACTTTGAGCTGCTTTTTTTTTTTTTTTTCCTCTCCCAGGAGAACAAAACAGTTTTGATGTAAATGAGACTCAAGCTCACCTTCTTTTTCCTACTGTTCTATCACCGAGAGAGATAATACGACTTGACTAACACCGCGTCTTGCCTCTTTGTTTGTGTGCTACCCTCATCAGAGCAGCACACGCAGAGCTCTGTACAAAATAAATAAACCAAAACCCTGGGCTCTATTCCCAACTCGCTATCTGAGTGTTTAGCTAAAGCACAACTTCTGCTCTATTGGAGGGATGCTCTGTTATTTGACTCAATACTGTTATTTCTTCTTATTTTTATTTCATCATCGAGTAAAAAGACACTTCCCATTTTCCAATTTTTCAGTAGGAGTGAAAAACACTGCCTGATGGTTGTGGAGATTGAAGGTTTCTTGTTTTTCTCCGAATGTGTATAGCTTGGGTAGTATTAACTTCCTACTCTCTGCAGCTTCCCGTTCCTCCCCAGTTCAGCGCTCGGGATTGATTCCACTCCCGATCTCTTCGCCCAGCCTTTTACCCAGGGTGTTTTCTGCAATTTGGGCAATTACTGCCTGCTGCAATGGAGGCTGGTGTGGTGGGCGGCACTTCTGGGAAAATGAACTGAAACTACAAGCCCATCTCGCAGCGCAGAGCATGCAGAACAGGCAGCGTGCTTCAGCGGCTGTCGGCCCAGACAATTCAGATCTGGGGCTGGGGAGGGAGTCAGCCTAACACATACATGGTGAGCAGCACCATCACTCGTCCCAAAGCAAAAACCCCATGAAGGGGAGGACGCCGTAACCACACCATGGCCAAGCTGGCACCAGCATCCCAGCCTCTTGGCATTGTCGCTGCGGAGGTCACTGCAGTTCCTTGCCTCAGACCTTACATTGTTCCACCCTGCATTTGTGCAGAGGGCACAGCTTGCTCCTGGTCGCCTTTTTTTCCTCTTTTTGTAATCCCTGGTTGATAACTGGAGGGGTCTGACATTTCTGCGCGACCGATAAGAGAAAGGATTGCCAAAGAGCGAATTCTTTCTGGAGCACATCCCTCCCCTTGGGTTAAATATAGGTTGCAGCATCCCCGTGTAATGAAAAGATCAGAAAGCATTTACGCGCTGGTGTAGTTTATGCCTGGTAATAATTGAGTAAAAATTCACCATTGTGAAAATCATACCTGCAAAGACACGCTTAGTCACTCTCTGGCTAATGAGTCTGTATTTTCAGTCAGCCTCTCCCTTACTGTATTCGGTCCGTGCACTGAAATACTTCCCATATAAACCAAATCCTTCAGCCTTTGTGTTTTATTGCCTTGTGATTTGCTGTTGGCCGCAGCACCCTGGTTTATTATCTTACCATGTGCACTGCGGTACTCGCAGTGGTGTCGTGCTGCAGGATTGCACAGCGTGCCGGACCGGGGATGTCCAATCCTTTTGATTATAAAAAATGAAAGCTAATCTGGAGAGGTTTTACCACTGTGTAAAACTAGATCAGTATTGTATTGCTGTCACCACAGACGCACAATTTAGAACACATTTACAGTTGCCATAAACTCTTTGCTTTGTAACCTGAAATCATCCGTAATGCCGGGCTGAAAATCGGTAGGTTCAGCAAGGGGCTGAAAGCCGAGCCGCCCGACAAACCCTGCGAAACATTCAGCCCTTCTAATTGCAAGGCAATCTCCATATCTTTTCTCCATACGCACATGTATGCACATGCATGCCAATCCTGCATATACATCGGCGAGCTCACACGTTCGCAAGCTCGCGCACACATTCGCAGGCTCTCGCACCCGGGGAACGTGCTCTGCAATAGAGATGGGACGCGGGGTATTTTTGAAGGCAGAACAAGATGACTGTAAATCGACACTTCCACCCACTAATGAAAAAAAGCCAAGAAAACCTCAGCAGAGAATGAGTTTTATAATTAATGCTGAACAATTTTCATTGACAAAGCAAAAAGAAGCAAGTGGATGGCTGATTTAAATGTTGAATGATTAATGCACGGCGAGGCGGCTGAGGAAAAAGACAAATTCAGGAGCAGCTATGGAAATTTATGTATGAGGGAGTCAGCACCATATTCTGATCTCAGTTACACAGTTGTAAATCTGTTATCTTAATGGAAGTATTCAGCTTTGCCATTTGCATACCATAAGTGAAAATAGAATTTAACCCAGAATGTGTTTGCAGCCGTGTGTTTGCGGCACTGAAAGGGAAGAGATGTGTATGTTTGCGTGCGATAAACTGCAAATGCAGGAGACTTTTTGTATCTCGCAGGGAGAAACGGAGAGCCAGAATGCATGTGTGAGTGTGTACGTGCGTGCCAGCTGTGGGGCTGTCTGACAGGGAGTGGGAGGGTGAGAACGTGTTTGTTCCTAGACTCCCTGGTCGAGTGAAAATGGCTCCTGGAAATGCCGCTTCAGATTAGAGAGTGACGGCTGGAGAGGTGGAGATTTCATTACCTTCCTCTTTGTGCGATGCTTTGGACTTGGTAATGTAAAAGCAGAGCTATAAATAATCCAGTCACAGCTGTGGTGTCCTCGAGATTTATAGTGCCCGCTAATGCCAGAATCTTTGGGGTGTTTCACTACGTGCGGCAAAATGAGGAATAATCGCCCCCCGAACAGCACGGACCCCACCTGGCATTTCTCACGTGCCAGGCAAGGAAAAATTCTCCATCCCCCCAGGCAGCCGTGTGTGTTCCTACATTTGTGTGCGGTGCCCATCGCCACGCACCCATCGTGCTGCCTCTCCCCTTTGCCTCGAGGGCTGAGGCTGAGCCCCACCGCCCTCCGTGCCCGTGCCGGAGAGGAGGGTGCGGAGGTCACAAGCAGCAGGCTGCCGTGCGCAGGCTTTTGAGAAGCAGGCACGGTATTTTTAGCTGCTCCAGATTCTCTCATGGCTGGGAGATGATGCTGAGGAGTTTATTGCCGTAAGGATGTGCCTGGAATACCAGGCAGCCTCAGAAATGCACTGTGCCGCAGAGCCCTGACTCAGTGCCGCGCCGTGACTTTCCTGTGTTGCTTCCACGTTCGAAAGGGAGAAAAAATGGTTCCTTGTGCTCCCGGCGCTGGAGGGACGCTGCTGTGATTGACTGAGGAGCCCCGTTGTGGGGAAGGACAGCGGCTGGAGCTCTGGCCAAACAGAGGCCTGACCAGTGAAGCTGCCCTCGGATTTCTTCTCAAATATTGCTCTACATTTCTGTCCAAACAGCAGGGCTAAACACATGCTGCTTCCTTAGTGTGTTTCCCAAGCACGCCGGCAGTGCCCCTCCAAGGAGCATTCCCGCAGCGATGCACACCCAGCGCTCCCAAACCTGCAGGGCCGTGCCATGGGGTGGTTCTTCGAGTGGCCTTTCGGGGCAGGTGAGGGGCAAGAGCCCACTGAGCGTGGCCAGAAGGAGGTGGGCAGCCAGCACCTGAAGCGAGAGGGATGGGAGCTGCCTCGGGGCACTGCCTGCAGCGAATCCCGCAGGAAATGAAGTGGAATTTGGGGTTCTTCTGCCCACGGTGCAGGTGCACCCGCAGGCTGGTTTCTACCCAAAACCCTGCTTGAGTTGTGTGAACCAGTATAACTGCAAAGTCAATTCCTCTGTGTAGAAGTCGTGGATGCTTTCCTGACCATTTAAATCCCACAGAAGGTAGCTTGCCCCTTCCGAGGCAAGTGAAACAACAGCAGTGCTGGCTGAGGAGAGGAGATCCGTATCCTAAGATTATTTGGGGACGAGCGCGAGGCAGACCGCAGGGACCCGGTAGGACACCGACAGGCTGGCACTGGAGAGGCACTGAAGTCGCCGTGTGTCCTCCCGGCCTTTGGCTCTATCAGACTCCTCAAGGAATGGGCTTTCCTCCATCACTTCCTAGGGGAGGCTGTAATAAAGAGGCTGAACCCCGGCAGCTCCTGCCCGAGTCCGAGGGCGCAGCGAGGCTCCCTGCTGCCCCCTTGTTGCTGCAAGTGACAGTGGAAGCACCGCGGGCTCCTGCTTCCTCCCTGGGCTGTGAGCTTGACTGATGTCCTCGCATTTGGGGGAAAGTCGTAGACCTCGCACAGGAATGTCTGCCTCATTGCTGTGGTATCCGGAATAATAAATAGAGCAATTACAGCTGCAATGCCGAGCATTTGCCTGGGCTGCTGCGTCCTGGGAAGCGCGCATGTGAACCGGGGGCAAGTTCTGGGGAGGGAGGTTTGCAGGCAGAGGCAGGAGCTGCTTTCGACTTTTAATTCTTGCACAATACAGATGAGCTTTCAGACGTACGTACACGCTCGCCCTGCACAAGCTCACTTTCCTTGCATGCTTAGGTCACCGCAGCTCCAAAAACACCCTGCTCTTAGCAATGCTCGAGAAGAAGGCTGCAAGAGCAGCAGTATTTCCTTTCCAAAGTGGCCCTGCGTAACACACACAGCACGGAGCAGCCCCGTGTGGGTACAGGATATGCCACATTTCAGTTTCGTGTTACTCATTCTAAGCTTTCCTTGGGTCAGCAGCGCTCAGAAAGCTGCTGCCATCCATATCGCGGGGAGGAAACCCATTTGGAGTTATGCGAGTGGATCGCAGCTCAGTTCCTGCTTGGTCTGTTGGTTGGTTTCTCTTCTGAAAAAAATAATCAAATCAGATTTAAATTCCTCCTCGTTTGCAAAGGCCGGCAGCTATGAATGGGATACGGAGAATGAACTCTCCTCTGTCCAGCCATGAATGGTAGCCAGGTCAGGACTGAGCCGCATTGGCAGGAGGCAGCGATGTGGGAAGCGTGCCCTGCCATTATCTATTCTGGAGACGAGCAGCAGATTTAATTCTCTGAGGATCTCAAGCCTATAATAACATCTCAATGGGAATACAAAGTCCTGACCCAGAAGGCAGTGGCGTGTTCTCCTCGCCCTCCCTAGTCGTGACTGCGAGCGCGGCTGCGCACCGAGGGAGCTGGGCAGCGCCCTGCTGGTGGAGGACACCCACCCGTGTCCTGCTCAGCCCCCGGGCAGCACGGCACACACTGGAAACCAGAAGGTAAAGGCTGAGCGCCTCGTGTAATCTGCAGGAAGAAATACACATTTGCATGTCTGCGTTAAGCAAGAAGCCCTTGCTGCTGGAACAGCGGTGTGCGTGCTTTCTCCCTCTTCCTGCTGCTCCCTGGGCCCACGGCCACAGGCGAGCACAGAAAACCCGCAATTCTTCCTGAGCTGGCATCGCTGGGTGACCTCATGCACCTTCTTGTCACCTCAGCAGCTCCAGCTGCGGTGTTCCTCCTTAGATTCATTATGAAAATATGTAACATGGGAAGAAAGGAAGGAGCCCCATGACCCATGAGGCCTCTCCTGCTGCTCCCCACGGCCAGGCCAACGCCAACAGAGCCCAGCACCTCCCGATGTGGTGAGGACACCGAGGGTGTGAGGGTGAGCTCAGGGCACTCCTGCCTCTTGGAAACACGAGGAAAGGCTCACAAGGTGACAAAACCCACCCGTGGTGGCCTTCCGCATCTGAGGATGTTTAGAAGGATCTTGGCGAGGTGATTCACTTACAGTAATAATCTTGATTTCTCACAAAGCCAGGGCTTTTAGAGGACCGTGGGATGCTTTCTGTCTCATTTTTGCTTTGGTTCTGCTTTGTTTTTATAATTCTACAAATCTCTTTTTAACCACACATGCACAAGGTCATCACTGGAAAAGCTGCGGGGGTCCCCTGCACCTTTTAGCGCTAATGCTGCATGTGCCTGTTTTTTTGTGTATTTATAAAGGAAACTGAAATCGAAGCTTTCATCCGAAGGGCGCTTTCCTCACAGCAGCGAGGCAGGGCACTGCTCAAGCCCCCCAACACAAAACACCAGCCACACGCTGCCTCCTCCACACCAGCTCCCGACCTCGCCGCTGAGCGCCTGAGCCGAGCCGAGTGCCCCGGCCTCCATCTCGCTGCCTGCGGGATGCAGCCTCACCCCCGGCCCTCCGTCCAGCCCTGCAGCAGCCAGCCCCCTGCCTGCAGCCCCCCCAGGGACGCTGACATCTCGTCTTTTACACCCGCTTCTCCCGGAAAAGCCAGGAGGGGGATTTCAACAGCACCAGGGGGGCTGGAGCCGGGGAGCTGCGGCGGCTGCCTGAGGAATGCTCCGGTGGGGAAGTGGGGTTTCTCCTGGCCCTATTGCCAGGCCAAGGTGGGCAGCACCGTCTCGCTGTGCCTGTGCGAAGCCAAGCGCCCTGGTACCGTGCATCCTCTGGCTTTTCTTCCCCAACTCCCCCGCGAAGGGAAAAAGGCAGCGAGAGCCGCAGCGGGGGCTGCTTGGGGCCGCTGGGGCTCAGCCCCTGCACAAAATGGGGCTGGGAGGGATGGTGGAGGAGGGGCTGCGGAGCGTGCTGCTGACCTGCTGAATTATGACTTTAATGCAGTCGCTTTAATAACTTGCTGGAGCTCCAACCACCAGATGCAATTTATGGCGAAGCAGGCGCCCAAGCATTTTTCTTTCTATGAAGACTAAGCAGATCTCTGATTACCGCCCCCTCCCCCCAGCCCATTACCTTCCCCCGCTTGCTCTGCTAATGGAAAAATGTTATGTGTCTGTGTGCTTTTTCCCCAAGCCCTGTTTTCAGGAAATGGTGGAGAATGAGAAACTAACACACGCGCGCGCACGCGTTTGAAGGAAAGATGGCTTTTATTCTCCCTCCTTCAACCACACAAAATTCCTCCCGCTAGCACAATAGCTGCTTCTCTTCCTAAAACCCTACAACCTCAGCCAGAAGCAAGGCAAAATCCATGATTTATTTGCAGGGAAAAAGAAAGGCATTCCCTCCCCCCCCCCTTCCATCTGACCAAAATCATCTGAAGTCTGACTGTTTTCCCTGCACAATGCAGAGCCCGCTGCTGCTCGGAAGTCTCCCTCCTGCAACAAAGGCTCGAACACAACCTCGGAGCAAACCGACAAAAAAGCCGAACCTGGGACTGATGGATGGACGAGCTGAATTGAAGTTTTAATTTTTTATTTGATGCTTGTATACAACAGCGATGGCTGCATTAAAAAAGCAATCTATAGATAGGCAGACTGATACCCCGCCAGTGCTCCTATTTTAAAGACCCATTCATTTTGCGTCTGAAGGATGAATTCTGCCTCCCACTCTCCTCCTCTCGCTCCTTTTCTGCGATTTGCGTGATCGTTTGCTACATATATTATGAATTACTGTTTATCTTAGTCCGGGGCTTCAAAGCGATTTCCCAAATAAATTTCACCGGATCAATAAACGCAGATTCTGTTTTCTTTTCTAAATTGAGGGAAGGGGAAATAAGAAGAAAAAGTAAATGTTTTCTTTTTAGCCAGATGGAACAAAAATCTGAGTTAAACAGCTGTGCCATTTCTGAGTTCTGGTGGTTCGCACAGAAGCCCTGTGATTCAACTGTTTTGTATCTTATTTTTGCTTTCCCTTTCCAAAAAAGTGCACATTTGGAGCCCTGAAAAATGGCGTGCGCTGCTCTGAAGCCATTGAAAGGGTGCCCATACAAGGCGTCACAGATTCCTCCTTTGTGACTGTTAAATATTTATCAGCAAGGCAAATTCCTCCTGGGTTACAGCAAGTACAGTTTGCAGTGACCTGCCTTTGTACTTTCAAAACTAAGCAGCAGACTCCTGCAAAATGTTCAGCATCGCGTTCAGCTGGTGTTGTCCTCCTGAGCTGTGAGATAGCTAGATTAATAGGGAGCAACACTGCGGATTTCTCAGTGAAGTAGCAGCATATGGGAGCATTCAGGATGCAGAAAGACGGATGTAGCTGGACATTTCCATGTGAATTCGGCCCTACGTGTTTGTCTTGCTCTGTTTACAGCGAACTGTCCTCAGCCCGTAGCAGGATCACGTTTCTGGCCTCAGGACAGCGAGATGCACCTGCATGCAGGCACTCAGCCGGGCAGGTAGTTCTTTTAGGTGTGATAAATTGTCTTTGAGCAACTGGATTTATCTCTGCTGACTACAGAGGGAGCCGAGGGCCAGATTCCTGACTTTCAGAGGGTTAGAGTTAGGTGAAATGAATCCTCGCTCAAGCATTCAACCACAGCTCCTTGGCTTGTGCCGTTAGCTTCCTGAATTCCCAGATGATCTCCCCACACCGTTTAGCCGGGCCTGGAACTGCTTATTTGCCTTATTTTCTCAGCAGCGACGGGGTGAGCCGCAGCGAGTGCAGCGCAGCCCTGGGCAGCTCAGCATTGCGCGGGGCCACGCGGATGCGCTGCCTGGGTTTGCACCCGACGCCGTGAACCTGCTTAAAGCACCCTGCTCTAGTCATGACCACTAAAAAAATACAATTTGAGTGTTTCAGGACAAAAATCCTCGCAGCAACCATACGGACAGGCCACGAGGAGAGAGGCTGCAGGCCCCGGGTGGCTGCAGGCCCTGGGCAACGTGGCCACGGGCTGGGGACCTGGCGTGGAATGGGGACAGCGGGGGGACACAGGTATGCTTCGCCCTAGGATGGCTCAATCCGAAGGCTCCTCTGATCCTGCAGTGTTTTTCTGTTTTGAGCCGGTCCTTTGATTAAAAACGCCTTGCTTCCAGCTCGCCTTGCCTTTTAAATGGCTCTGCAAAGCCCTCTCGCGGTTCCCAGCTCACATCAGAAGCGGGAGCTGGAAGTGTTTCACTGCAGAATAAACATATGGGCTGTAAATCCTGTGATTCAGAAGATTCGCCTGCAATATTCCTCTCTGCTGTTGCCATAGGTAACCGGGCTCTGCAAAACACCATTTACCCTGGAATGCAGGGAGACATGGAGCTCAGCAAGGGCACTCTGCTTAACCCTTTCCTACCAAAAAACCCATCTGCTGATTCCAAACCGCGCTGTTCCTCGCTCTCAGGCTCCTAGATTTGCACACAAATAAACCCCCGGCCATATAAATGAAGGCAGGCTGCCCAAAGCTTCTCATGAGCCCCAGGCACGTGCACACGCACCCCGTGGGAGCAGTGGGTTTCCCCTCGTACCCCCAGAGCTGGGACATGGCATGCACAGCAGGGTGCTGGTGTGGCGGCTGCTGACTCAGTGGGGCTGTGGGCTCCCTGCCCTCTGCCCTGAGCTCCAGGGAATGGGTTAAAATCCTCTGCTGGAAGCGGATAAAGGAAGGAACAGAGTCCGGCTGGCCTGCTCGGGACTCCAAAACTAAGGTTCGTGGAGCAGTATTTGTCAAATTACTTCTTGTTAATAAGACAGGAGCTTACAGAGGAAGGCTTTTGATTTCCCAGCCACCACAGAGCCTTTTTTAATTCCGTAGCTGACAGGGGATGCTTAAGGTTTACAGGGATTTGCCACATAATGGAGACCCATCAAGCCATACACTGAATGTAAGCCTGATGCTGCTGCTTCCTGTGCCCCTGGTTTGCAGCCAAGGCTCTCTTAACACCTCCTAATGGCCTGTCCTCTGCTCCAGCACCTGAGGCTCCCCACCATCAGTATTACCTCCATGGGCTGCCCCCGTGCAGGGTGTGCAGGGTGGCCGTGGAGCCGTGCTTCAGCCAGAGGCCGTGCAGGCTGGTGCTTCGTGCTCCAAGCAGCCTTTCTCTGCTCCCAGCTTGAGTTCTTCCTATGTTATGGACCCAGGCACCCTCAGAGAAGATATCTGGATGTACCTGTGTTATTTAATGGAACCACAGCCGTGCTCGATGCACATGTAACACCCCTGGAAATACCCTTGCAAGCACCTGACCCGTACAGCTGTGTCACCAGCGCGGGTGGTGCACAGCGCCCCGGATTCATCCATTAGCTACAGCCGTATAAATGCCACTCTCCGACAAATTAAACAGACGGGACCAGAGTTCAGGATGAGCTCAATTTGCATTTGCTGCAGCTTAGGAAAACAGCAGGAATTGGCTCCCAATTTGCTTTTGTGTTCCTCCGATTCTCACCTGAGGGCTGAGGCAGACCCCAGCAGAACTGAAGGAGCCCAGGGGCTGTACCGCACCTGAGCAGCGTCTGGTGCTGCTGTCCTGTTTTCAGGATGTCTTATAAAGGGAAATCTTTCTAATAAATCTCATATTTCTTCCTTCTTCTTTAGGATTTCTTGTAAAAATCCCAAAGATGCTGTATTTCAAACCACCGTTGTCTTCCTCTTCATCCTCCCCTCTGCAGTTTAATGCACACACACATACACACCACCAAATTATCAATTCCTTTATAACATATAGGATTGCTTTGGGGTCCCCTACAGAGAGAGGAAATGCCGAGTTCCTGCCCCAAAGGGTTAACCACCGAGCTAGTTACTGTTACAGCAAAGGTCAGATGGGAATGCAGGAAAGTCAGGAAATGTGGATAAGGCTGAAATTACATTCATAAAAGGTCTTGCAGTGGTTGGGAATCGCAGCCCATGCATGGACAAGCCTGCATTGAGGCCGCTGTAATCCCCGAGTGAAACAGGGGGGAGTGAAGGAGAGGTCAGTGCTCTTTGTGGGATTCTCTGGCATTACTGGGGCAAGGCGAGTTAGTCCCTCTCTGTTATTTGAACAGTGAACAAGTATTTTTTTAGGACCTTTTATAAGATGCCAGAGTAAAAAGGAATAGGCAAGAGAAAATGACCCCAGACCATTAGGGGATTGCTGACTGTGGAAAAGTGCAAATACAGCTTCAAATTGTTTTCCTGCAGAACCCTTTTTTTTTTTTTTTTTTTGTGGCTTGTTTCCATGCCACCACGGAGAAGAATGGCGAAGGAGAGGGCTGATGTACACGCCAGAGAGGCTTTTAAAGATTCCCGAGAGCTGCTGAATGGGTGCTGCCCGCTCCAGCCCTCCCGGTCGCTGTTCCCCCTCTCTGCCTTGTGCAGACAAACCATCACCGAGCCCCAAAGCCACGGAGCGATGCGTGGAAGCACAGCGACATTTACACCTGCCCTGACCTTTCCAGGTTTGTAGGGGATGGCAGGTGAAGGCTGCCTGGTGCTCTGCCCCCTGCTCCCGTGGCAGCAGCCGGAGGCGGGCGCGCTGGGCAGGCAGGGCTTGGAGCCCTCCTTCCCTCAAGGCTCCCCAGCTGCCTTGAGACAAGGCTGTTTAAATGTCAGGCTTTAGGCAGTGCCTACATTTACTCCGGTTTGAGCGTCTGTAGCAGGAGGTCCGTGTCCTTGCACACTCCCAGCTGTGGATTTGCATGAGAAATGCCAAGGCTTTCTTCGGGGCTTGTGTTTTTCCATGGCGGAGGTGGCACGCTCCCCCCATGGTTAACGTTCTCCCGCCAGAGCCGCTGCGATTTATTCCTTTTGGAAAGGAAATATGGGAGCCCGGGCAGGCCCCAAGCGATTTGCTTTGAAGGCTGCGTTGGCCGGGGCTGCGGGAGGGGTGACAAAGGGGACATTGTGGGGACGGGCTCGCCCGCAGCCGAGGCAGGGAGGGGTTACTGCTCACAGCTTTCCGCCCCAGCTCCGGGGCCAGGCCCGGGGAAACGGAGCCGTGCTCTCAGCCTCACGCTGCCTCCATCCCCAGCGCTCCCATCGGCCACGGCAAGGCCGTTCGTGCTCCCATTTCCTGACCCTTTCGGCTTAAAACACGTGGAGTTAAATCAAATAGACGCCCGGCACCACGAATAGACCGACGGGAACCCGGCTGCAGCTTTTGCCACCCAGCACACGGGCCCTGTGTCAGCGCTGTGACCGAGGGACGCGTGGGCAGAGCCAAAAGCCTTTGTGCACCGCCGGCCGGCCGGCAGCGGGGCCCGAGCAGCGAGGCTGGGGGAAGGGGAGCTGGAACAGAGCGTGCACATGAGGCCGAGGGGGTGATTTCAGCCTTTTAGCTGCACACAAAACTTGCTGAGGTTTCAGCGCCGTGGGAGAAGTTCCCACAGCAGGGCTGGGGACGGTGCCGGGAGGATGGGCTGGTAGCAGGAGCACCCTCGGAGGAGGATTTGGCTGCTGCCCTTATTCATGGTGCTGGCAGGGGGCCCGCAGCACGCACATGTGTGTGTCCTGGAGGGTTTTTTTCACCCCTGTGTGCACTGCCTGAGACTGTCCACCCACACGGATCTGTCTCCATATTTATCTGTCAGCCTGGGCCCGCATTGCTCAGTCTTTTTCCCTTTTAAGTGCACGGGTTGCATTTCTTTCTGTGCCCAGATGGATTTTCCTTTACTCTACACCGAGGGGAAAGGCAACGTGAGGGTAGCAGACATTGCATTTATGTCTTGCTCGAAAAGGGGCTCCACAATTTAGAAATATAAATGAAGAAGAAAATGAGAATACTTCTCCTTCTTCCTCCCTTTTGTCTGCAGTCTTCCCCGGTCTTC